AAATGTATCTAAATATTTAGTTGATGAATGGAATATATAGCTTGCTAACCAAATATTTAGTTTGTATCCACCTAAATATTTAGTTTGCAGCTGTGTAGTGAGCACACGGTTTATTTCCGTGTGCTGGAGGTACAAATTACATTTTTATCTCCAAACAAAATGTTCAGTTTTAAAATAAAATTTCTAGCCTACTCGCTAAATAGCTCGTTGGTAAGCTAAACATTTAGCTTGCTAACTGAATATTTAGTTTAAATGTTGTAACACTTATAATGTGTGAATACCATGATCTGACTAAAAACATGTTTTTTCCCTAATGAGAGGCAAATTAAACTAAATATTTGCTGTTAGTTTTTCACCGTGTGATTTTACATAATAAATAAATTGCGGTGTGTGTAACGAGGTGACGTCGGTCTTCGTTTTCACATCAGAGATGCATCACGGTGTAACGACACCCGCAGCCCCGATACGGTCAGCACGTTCCCATAGCAACGCAAACACGACACCGCCTCGCTGCGCGCGGCACCTGTTGCTGCTGCGCTCCGTTTTCTCCTCGTCGTTTTCACAAATTCAGCTCTGAAACCTTCTGACAAACGGCTCACCTGCTCAGGTGTCACCCCAGTGCATGCCGGGAGATCTGCACACCTCTGCTCCACTCCTGCAGTGGAACTTGAGTCAGGAAACAGATTCCTCTGGGAAGAGGAAACTTTTACTGTTCCCCTTTTCCAGTTATAGTGGCTCATTATGTTCATTTGTGTCCTTTGGTTGCATTTTTGGCTCTACTCAGATTTTATTTCTTCTATCAATAATCAATATTAATATTGATCAATAGTTTGTCTCTGAATGTGGTTTTTTGGCTGTTTTTCATGGATGACCCGAGTTTCATCATCCTCCTCTGGTTATGAGTCTGTTTGGTTTTTCTTCTGAATTTTCTGGGTTTAATTATATGTTAGTTTAATGTGCAGCATTTTTCATGTTTCTCCTTTCTTTGTTTTCCCTTCTTTATTTTTTCTCTTTTATTTTTCCTCCTTTTTCTCTTTTTTCTTTTTTAATCATTTTCCTCCTTTAAATTATTTTTCCCTTTTCCGTTCTTTTCTTTTTTTGCTTTGTTCCTTTTCTTTTCTCTCCTCCCTTTTCTTCTTCTAAATAACTTTAGCTCTGTGCAGCTTCCTCAGCTCCTCAGATTTTGCTGATAAAGTTGAATCCACGTTTATTCAGACAGTAAAATTAGTTTTCTGTTGCAGTGAAGACGCTGCTGCATTACAAACTCTCAAGTCCATGTGACATTTAGGCTGTGAGTGGATATTAATTTAGGCCCATAATTTCTGCAGCGAGTTGCACTCGATCGGGTTACAGCGTCCTGCTGAGCTCTGAACTGCATCCAGTTTAAAATAGACCTTCTCACAGGTTTATTTCCGTGTGCTGGAGGTAAATCTTCATCTGTCCTCAGATCTGCAGCCCATCAGAGTCCTGATTCATCTTCTTCTCCACTTCAACACATCCGAGGTTTTCCAGCGACATGTTCACTCAGGATGATGCATTAAACTGCTGTGTGTTTAGCAGCATGAACCATTTCTTTACATGTGAACCATATGTGGGCTACTTGAAGCTCACAGATGATGTTGCTTTGAAAGAAAATGAGAATAAAAATGAGTATTTTATTTTCTGAACTAGAAAAGGACAGAAATGATCACAAATATGATCAATAACAACTAATAAGGGTTTAGATTCAGCTGCGTTTCTCTTCCTGATCTTCCATAAAGTCCAGATTTGTGGCGCTAATAGTTCCTAGTGATCCTGTAAATCTCTGCAGCTCCTCCAGAGCTGCCATGACTCTCATGGGACGCATAAATAAACCTTCAATATAACAATTTGAGGGAACCAATCATGTAAAATTTATTTTTTCCATGTTTTTATGCTTCCATTTGGGTCTCAACTGATTTTAAAATCAGAGAAGTACTTAAAAAAGCACACAACTGCTTTTTTAAATTATTTTTTGGGCAATAAGTTAATGTTTTTTTTTCCATCTGGAAAATGATTTGTCTCAAAAGTGACACATGCAGGGCTCTGCCCCGTCACCTAGCAACCCAAGCTGAGATCCAGCAGGTTGGGTCAGCTGGTTTTACAATGGCTGCTGGAAAAGGCAGGGGATTTACTTATCTTCCAGAAACCATTTGCTGGATCCTTGTTGGTTGTGCAGGAGGCTCCACTTCTGCTTTTCAAAGATGTACAGTTGTATATTTATACATGTGTTTGCAGGCGTTTTCATGTGTGAGTGCTGATGTTGACTTTTGGGGCGCGGCTGCCAGAGGGTTACAAATTGAAAGTAAAATTCTGGAGGGATTGATGAGTGAAAATATGTTGATTATCATTTAATCTATTAACTTTTGGCTGCAAAAATGGGTTAAAGAAATGTTTCTGAATCCTCAGGTAAAATTAAATTTGACATTTTTAAATCAAACGTTGTTGGAATAATTATGTAGCTACACCTTAAGATGTTTTTCTGTCATGAATTAGCAGTAACTAGATGTTTGAGGCTGTATTTCCTGGATGGCATGACCTGGAATGACCCAGTTCTGTTGTTCAGTCCTTTTCTTTTCCATCAGTCAGCAGATGAACCTCCTGACTCACCCTGATTGGCTGACCCAACCAGCAGAGCGAGGTCTGAGTGGTTGAATCTTTCCCTCATCCCTGAGATCTGTTTGGACCACGTTCTCCAGGATCCAATATTTAGAAGTGGGAACATGTTCTTCTAAGGAAACCAGCCTGGACCGAAGCTGCTGCCATCTGCCCTTGAGCCAGGCAGCAGCTGCGCCAAGCTGGCTAACCCTGGCAGCCTGTTGCTCTATAATTAGGAGCTGTGTCCTTCCTGCTAATCTCCTCCACCACTGCTCCAATCATATGGCTGGCCCTGGTTGCCATGGTGAACTAATTAACTCGTCAATGACCGACAGGAAGTGGCAAGAAGGAAGAAACCAGAAGTTTCTTCCTTCTTGAAGGTATTATCTCACCTTCATTTACCCAACTTTATGAAACAGATGCAGCAAAATCTGATCCCAGGTGAAAACGACTGGATGTTTGCAGCCAGATTAAATAATTAAATAAAAGTTGAGTACTTTGTTTGGAATGACAGTGGATTAATCGGTTATTAAACTAATTGTCTATCAGGCTGTGCTGTGGTGGCGCAGGGGATAATAAACACAACCCATAAATTGAGGCCTTAGTCTTCGCCGCAGCTGTCGCAGGTTTGATTCCCGTCTTCCCCTTCTCTCATGACTCAACTAAAGGTCAAAAAAATCTTTAAGAAAAGTCTATTTGTTGAAAGAACAATACACTCAGACCAGTATTTAAGACAAAACTATATAAAAACACATTTATTTTGCATCTAAATAGCATCTTTAAATGCAAAATTGAAAGATGGGTAAATATGTTTAACCCAGGGCCTTTTTCTGTCTAATTATCAATCGATTAATTGAAAAAATACTGAATAGATTAGCCCTACACTGTGTTGACGTTAAGTCAAGCAGAAAAGGCTGAACTTTGACATGTTGATGTTTTTAAGCTGCAGATGAAAACTTTGCTGTAAATGATCAAGCATATATTAAAATAATGCTAAATGTTTGATTTAGCATTTAGAATGAGTTTAATTATTTGTTTTTGCATCTTTTGACATATTTGTAATATATAAGAAGGGGAAATTTTAAAGAGACAAACTTGAAACTTTAAATTCAGCCAAAGCTGCAAGAAACCTTTTATTTTATTACATTTTATTATTTTTGCACTATTTTTACATAAAATGCCATTGAAATACAAAACAATTTGAGGTTTGACAACATGTCAATGTGAGAGTAACATCATAACATTGAAATAAACCGTGAAGCTGCATGATATCAAAGAGTTAATAGAAATATGTCAACCTCTTTATGGAAGTCATTATAGTTTCAGTGAAACATGTTGTGATCTGCTTTCACTTTGCTGACTTCATTTCTCTCTCCAGATGTAAAAAATGTTGAGGTTATTTTTAAAGTGGTGCCTTCACTTCCCGCGTGTCGTTTCCAGCGCCGTCTGTTGCGATAATCTAAGCAGCGCTATCAACAGTCAGCGCCGGTTTTCATGATGTCAGATCCCCTCCCTGCCATCTCTGCATTTATTACCACCTAGAGAGCCTGAGTTGACATGGAAACCCAGTGTAATCACTCAGCATCCCTGGATTACTGTAAAGTTTCTTCACAATTTGTTTGGTACTGCTTTTTAAAGAACAGTTTTCTCTGTGAGGCTTAAGAAAGTGAGACTAGAAAAGAATATTTTTTAAAAAATCTCTAAATATTCACCTATAGAGGCCAGTAATTACATCATGTAAAGTAGTAGATTTGTCAACAATTGCCTTTATGTATTTATAACCAGCAATATGAAATTGTCATTAATGGAGAACAAATTGATTTCTTAATCAGCCCAATAAACCTCGTTAATATGCCATATATTGCCATATGCTGGCAAACTTTTCAAGTCGTAATGAAACGTTAAAACATCTTTAGATGCACAAGAAAATAATAAAATAAAAAATTAAGAATACAAAATAGCATTAAAACTAAAATTTCAAAACGCTGAAATCAACTTTCCAGCACAAAAGAAGGAATCTCAGTTTAAAAATGAACCAGGATATAACAATTTTAGTCAATATCAGTGTTAATATCAGTGTTAATATTTCTGTTGTCAGTCCAGATTCACTGATCAAATTGATACTGATGTCATAGCTGACATATCGTTCAACATGATTGAATAGGCTTGCTGGAGTAAAGGCTTGATAAATTAAAGTGGACGTTTTTCTCAGTTTGTCTTTAATAACAATTATTCTTGAACTTTCTTCATCCATGTATAAAATGGCTCAAAAGTTTATAGGTTATCATGCCTCATGTAGAGATCGGGTTATTATTTCATAAGTTTTAGAAATGAATATGGGAAAAAAACCCACAGATTTTCCATCAAATTATTAACACAAGAAATTGACAATAAAAGTATTTTTATTAATAATTTTTCCACCACAATAAAATTGAACAAAGGCTCACTAGAAAAGTGTCAATTTCTGTGTTCTGTACAGCAGATACAGTACAAAATAAAACTGGCCGTGCAGTGGCACCACAGCCCATCGAAATCCCCCGACCCAAAATGTTTTATTCAAACACTTTGCACAATATTTACAACTTTAAAAAATCAACAATAAAACTCAAACGTTATAGAAACCTTTCACTAATGTCTGGCTGCGAAGACTTCTCGAGAGAAGCCAAATGGCTAATGAGCTAATTGGCTAACAGGCTAAAGCCGCTTTCACATGAACAAAAACATGTTATCAGAGTGCTACCAAGAGGTAAGTTAAAACATTTTTTCATGTTACAGGAAACAATTGTCTCTTTATTGTATTTTTGAGAGAAGCCAAATGGCTAATGAGCTAATTGACTGACATTAGCTCATTAGCCATTTGAGCTAATGAGCTAGAATGGCTAATGTTACAGGAAACAATTGTCTCTTTTTTGTATTTTTGCTTGTTTCTTACTTTCTGACTGCCTGTATTTGTCTGCTGGAGTAGCTAGCATTTAGCTACTTTTGTAAAGGAATGCACTTTGGTAGATTAAACCAAATGCCCTGCATGTTAGTCATATAAATGACAACAGTAATGCAATCTGAGGTACAAACATCAAAAACAACCACATTAATACTAACACCTTGGTTGAGAACTTTGTTGAATAGCTCAACGTAGCTGCAGAGCGCAAGAAAACCCTTTGCTGTTTGCTACTAGCATTCAGTTAGCAGTAGGCTAGTGGTAGCTTCAATAGGTAAAACCAAAGTCAGTGCAGCAAACGGCTAGTGTTAGGTTCGCCCTGTCGTTGGCAAACGACAGTTGGCTGATATGTGTCTGTACATTGTGCTGCCATGACTAAAACTTCTCCCTCTGTTCCAACACACACAAACACGACATGCTAACGAGCAGCTTAAAGCTACGATCTGTGGTTTGGCTGTTGGTCTCTTCTGCTGGATCTGTAAACATTGCAGGGGCCCACAGGTTTAGCAAGATGTCAGTGATGGCATTATGACAACTGTTCTATTGGCTAGCGCTAACGGTGTTTTAATTGCAGTCAAAAGTCTAAATTTATAGTTTATGATTGTTCGTTTTTGTCTCGGAAGTTGGAGCTCGCTTTTGGGAATGACGTGAGATGCGAGTTGAGAACGTTCAACGGAAACGGCAGCCATAGCGAACCGGAAGCTTGAAAATTGGATTTACCCTGAATAAGTTTAGAACTACAAATAACCACCCCTCTGTTTTTAAAGTCACAATACTAGTAGAAACAGCTGAACGGAGACACTCCAACTGTTACACGTTGACTGTTATAATTTCCTGTTTAATTTAAAAAATGTGAGTAATGGTAAAATCTAACTTTGTTGTAATCTAAATTAGATATTGATCTCAGTGATCACAGAAGAACTGAATGCATCAAACTCTCAAACTCATAAAGGTCTGCAATTTGTTGAGGCTTTAATTTATTGGGAAATGTGTTTAATTTTCGTTTAGGATAAATAAAGTATTTTTTATAGTATTTTGAATTTCAAGGGAAAATGTTGGCGACGGTATTTAAAGAAGAAATAAACACACATGAAGGCAATCAGCTCACTGCTGCTGGCGAACAGCATCCAGGTCTGGATGAAACAGGATTTTACAATTTTTTTCACCTCAGCTTGAACCCAACTGGAATCTATGTTTAAAGCACTACAAAAACTACACATATAAAAACTTGCATTGCATCTTTATCTTAAATTGGTAACGGTTTCACTTTGACTGTGGACTTCAGGAGCATCAAAATTCTTAAATCTCTAAATTTGGCATCCAAGTTCAAAGTACACAGTTTTTAGTTTGAGACTTTTCGTCAACCCCATTCTTAAAATCCAAGATGTCTGAAAGACATACACCGCATCTTTAATTTATTGTCCATCACGTTTCTTGTTGCTGCTGTATTTTTTAAAAAACTTTTCTGTAAATAAGTAGTAATTCTTTCATTTTTAAAATGTTTTTTATTGTTCCATTTGAGACATCACTAGGTAAAGTCAAACTTTGTACAAATACTTTTTACTCAGTGAAAAGTGGAACTAGAAATGTTTTTTTAAAATGTCATTCCCAAATTCTTCAGAGGCAAACAAAAGGCAACTAATGGCAGCGAAGTAGTTTTGAAGCTAAACAGTAACAAATATGTTAAACATGAGGAATCAACATTTATATTGGATTGTTTTTCCAAATTAAGACAAAAATAAAAAATTAGACTGCAGTTTGTTTTTAATTACCAATTAGCATTTTTTAGTCATTTCACTAGCATGTAATGTTGGCTTGAAAATACAGGTTACACCGCATGGAGAATGGAAAATGAGATATTGTTGGTATTTTTGCATTAGCCAATCAGGCAGAATAATAAATGAATGACATCATGTTTGTGTGCGTTGGGAGGCGTGGCATGGCGTCGAGATACTGAAGGCACAAAGTTACGACTCAGCACTCCGTCTCACAAAGAAAACGTTAAAAAAACTAAACTAAACATACAATCAACTCAATTTATCAAAACAAAACAGAATCAACTCCACGTTTTCTACTTTTCCCTCCTGCACCAAGAGGGGGCGGAGCTTCCCCTGAGATGGGCGGAGCTTTTAGCATCTGTGGTTCCTCCTGTGCATCTTGTCATTGTCCTTCACTTCCTGTGTGCTACATTACGTCAACGGACACCGATTTGCCAATCCCAGAAACCTTGTCCTCCTCCTCCTCCTCATCTTCATCCTCCACCTCCTTGTGTGACTTTATTTTCAGACTGCGTTCAGATTTTGTTTGTGTATTAATATCGTGTGTAAGGGAACAAGTTTGAAGAGAACTTTTTAATATTGCACACACGCGTCCTGCAACAAACACACACACACATTCAAGTATACAGTAATTACTGCACATCACTGAACATACATAGATTAAACTTTTAAATATTAAAATGTGACAAATAAATTAAATCTAACATGCTTTACTCGTCGTCGCCCCTCCCTGATGGTTAGCAACACTGATTTAAAAGGATCAGGATCAAAGTTTGATCTTTGCTCTGTTGTTCACCTAAACCAAACCACCAACGGATCGCAGTGAGATCTGGAACATCGGTTCCTTCATAAGCTGATAAAAATCCAGGCGGAGCCAGAAACGAGCTAAGAACCAGAGAGAACCTGGTGTTTTTAATATTCTGTGTTTAAATGTAAAACAAAAAAAACAATTAAGAAACCAAATCTGGGCTGGCGATGAATCGATTTAAAGATTTAATTTTTGGATAATCTGAATTTCTTTTTTTAACATTTTGTTTGACTAGAGTGTTTTACAGTTTCTGTTTGTTTGGACTTTATATTTCTGACAAAATATAAGCTTTTTTTAAAATAGAAGAACAAAGTTCTAATATTAGAAAAATGAAGAAGTAATTAATTATCCAAGCTTTCTTCACATTAAAATGACTTTTTGTAATTTCAAGACATTCTTCTGTTGATGTTGTGACTATATTCTCGTAATTTATGAAAATTGTTGTATCCTAATATTGTCAAACAACAGAAGAAATCACTAAAATAGATTCCACTTTTTGAAAATGTTTTGTCATTTGTAATTTATATCTTAGAAAACAAAATTGAGATTGGAAATTGGATCTGCAAAATATAAAAATAATCTGAGATTAAATCTTTACGCCATATTGCCCAGCTCCAAAATACACTGTACTTAATAAAAATGTAAGTTCTTTGAGCAGCATTTCTCATCTTTCCTCAGTGAAAGGGACTTTTTTAAATGCAGCTTTTGTTTTAAAGTCTAATTCATTTTTATATTACTTTTTGGGTCATATGTTTGTATGTCCCTTTAACAAATCTGTCTCAACAAAAAATAAAGCTTGTTAGGCTTCCTTTGAAGCTGATTTTAAAGGCATATCATATATATTTTAAAGGAACTTCTTCCAAATATCCTCATCCAGATTTAACGCTGCTGTATTTTTATTCTGGGACGTCACTAAAGTATTTCCACAGATTGAAAAACAATCTTCATCTAAACCTTAATACAGTGTATTCAATCCTTCTCAAAATATTTTAGTTTCTTTTTCATTAAGGCTTCCATTTTGCTCTGTTTGGTGAATTTTGACAACAATCTGCACTTTTGAGTTCTTCCAATTGTAATTGATCTTCACAGTTGACAAAATCAAATGAAATAAAAACAAATGTTTTTAACCTTATTATGTATGAAAAGTATGTATTTCTACTTGTTTTTGATTATTAATGTATTTACATGTTTAATAATAAATAACTGAATTCTGTATTTACTCATGTTGTTTTTGTCTGATATAAATTTGTTTAATCATTTTTCCATTTAAGATGGAAAAAAATAAGAAATCTGATGAGTCAAATTACAACAGGTCCCCAATTAATATCCACATAAACTTAAGTACTGCAGACAATATTTATATTTTCCCAATGTGCATTTTTCAGCATTCACAGTAAAACAGATATTAAAAATTTGAGTTATTTTATAAATTTGTAGTAAAACATGTCTATTTTACTCCTTCATCAGCCTGGTCAAGTCCCAGAAATTCACTTTCGGTATCAAACTTGTACTCATAACAGAACCACTGTTTCTGTCCTCAACTGTCTCGCCTGCTTTACAACCTGAAAAAAAAAATTAAAATCATAGAAAGTAGAAATATGTTGTTGTTCTGTCTGAGAATGATAAGGCCGGGCAGTGGAGAGCTGACATGCTATGGCTATAACGGCTAATGCTAGCCAAATGACTGATATACAAGGCAAACACTGAGTCAGCTACAAATAGCCAACTCTTTTCTGTGTGCTAGGCTAACTGCTATCTAGTTACATTGAAAATAGGTAGCAGTATTGCAGCTAAACATGAATATATAGCTTAATACCAACTCAGTTCGTGCTAGTTAGCAGTTAGCCAGCTAACAGGCACTACGCTAGCATGCTAACATGGCTAGCTAGTTGATATAATATAAAACTGGCTAACTAATTCTGTTAGCCAGCTCTCAGGTAGCTGTTTAAAATCAGGGTTATAACGCTGTGATTTGGATCGTTGCCAACAGAACCACAAAAATGAAATGAACCAAAAACCAGACGGAGCTTTAGGGTTCAGAGACACACGCTACAATCAGTTCATGAGATAAAACTGAAGGTGAAACCCTAAAACTGTAGATAAAAACTTGTAAGACTGAAGTCACTCAAAATTTTTGGTGTTAAACTGATTTCATGACTCAGCTGAAAAGATTGTTATAAAATATTTTAAAAAGCCTTGTTCCCTCCATCAGCACCATGTTTCTGATGTGTTTTTGTGAGTTTGGAGCTACAGAGCAGTGTTGTGATGTGTTCCGATTGTCTGAACCGCCCCACAACGTGTCGTCACTTTACCGTCCTTTTGCCCAAACTTAAAAACATCTCATCCGCTTCAGATGATTTCAATTTGAGGTTTCCGAACGCACCCAGAGTTCCTTAGTTTCGGCTGCATCCCAGCTTGGTAACTTCTTTAACAATTCAACGTCAGGACTCCATTTCACTTTAATGCACCCAGCAACGCAATAAATAATCAAATGTGCTTCACAACTGGATATACCAGTTTTATTCAGGTCTCGCTGGTTACTTTTGAACTCAGCCTTTATTCCCCACCGCAGGGAATGGGGGGTATTCAGTCTCAGCTAACTAGTTTGGGCAGCACCGTCCTTGGCTGAATGTTTCCGTTAGCGTCTGTAATGGCAGCCAAATTAGTCCTGGATTTGGAAGCGGTGGATCCGGAGGTGGAGGCAAGTTTGGAGATGCAGGAGATGGAACTGTCGCTGTTGCTGACGGAGCGTTTGGTTGGGGCGACTTTCTCTCCGGTGGTTCCGGACGGAGGTTTGGGAAGCCGCCTCCTGAGCCAGGGGTGGCGCAGCGCCTGGCTCGGCGTCATCCTGAGTGCCGGGTCCCATTCAAGACATTGCTTGAGGAAGTCCAGGAAGAGCGGGTCATCGCAACCCTTCAACGCAGCGCTCCAGTCCTTGCTGCCCGGGGGACCGCGTGTTTTCCCCCGTCGGGAGCGTCCTCCGTTCAGGACCACCGAGCCGTCCGGCATGGTGGTGACGGTGCAGTACCGCGGGAAGCCTTTGGACGACACAAAGTTCTTTGCTCGCTTGGAGACTTCTAGGAGCTTTGGATTGGGCATGCCCAATAGTTCAATGATGCAGGCCAGCTGGTCAGATTCGTCTTCGCCTGGTAACAGTGGGTAACCGGTCAGCAGTTCAGCCAGGATGCAGCCCAGGGACCACATGTCGATGGGCATCCCATATCTGGAGCCTGGAGAACAAAGTCCAGCAGGTCGTTATCTTTCAGGAAAAAACTGGTTTTAAGACATTTCTGCAACTCAACAAGCAGTTTATCCAATACAATGATAACTGCCATCTAGTTTCCACGTCTTTCTATTGAAAAAGCTGTTTTAGAGGATTTGGGGTGATAATCGATTGGGGACTCAAAACGCAACATTTGTTACATTTTCAGCTGCTGCAGTTCTTTCATACTGAACAGCATCAAACCAACAAAACCCTTTGAAAAACCTGTCCCCTTCCTCACCTGTGAGGGCGCTGCTCCAAGAACCACTGAATGAAACGACAAAAACCTTTGAAGACACTGAGCGCAGCTTCCTTCTTCACCAAATGTTAACAATAATGGAGTCAGATTTTAGCGGTTGGAGGATTTCTCTTTCGTCTTTGGTAAAGACATTTCTCCTGCTGGTGCTAGGCTAATGTGTTTGTTTTGGTTGCATTTACCCACAATTCCCTGCACTGTAGTCCGCTTCCTGTTTTTGGAGAGGGTTCTGGTCCGCTTGGTGTTCACTTCAAGTAAACCAAGACCAAGGTTTTAGATGGACCAGTTTGCTTTTTTGGTTCGATTACGCATTCACACATCCCTAAACAAACCACTTTAGTCCACTTTAGTTTGACTAAAGTGGACTAAACAGGAGTGGTGGGAGTATACCCTCAATTTAGTTTCTGACATGATTTCAGAAGACCTTTCATCTCTCGAGGTTCAACTAATATTCTTCTGGTCAAACAAAGAAATCAACTGTTTGAAACATCTGTAACTGGCTAATAAAACAGTTTGTATCACACATTTAAATGCGTCTTATTGTGCTGGATTGTTGAAGCTACTGCAGCTTGGAGCGTTCCTTACCTAGAATCACCTCTGGCGCTCTGTAGAACCTGGACTGGATGTAGGTGTAAACCCTTTGATGTTCATAGCAGCTGGAGCCAAAGTCTATGACCTGCAGAAGAACAAAGTTCTGTAATTCGCTGCAAAAACACAAAATCTCACTAATTTGTTTGTTTTTGGTCTAATGTCTGGAGCCAATATTTTAGTAGATTCGACAAAAGGACAGAAGTAATTTATAAGCAGAGGTAGTTACTCGAGTGTTTTACTCAAGTAAGAGTAAAAAAGTATTCAAAGTCTTCTGAAGTACTGAGTAAATGAATCACAAAGTAACAGAACGTTTTGGTTTCACTCCGTAAACACTGATGAACCTTTACCTTGATGCCGCTGCGGCCTTGCTGCTTGAGGAGAATATTCTCTGGTTTGAGGTCGCAGTGGATGATGCGGTTCTTGTGCAGCGCATCCAGACACTGGAGGATGGAGTGGGCGAACTTCCTGACCAGCGGGAGGCTGAAGCCCTGGAACTTGTTCTTCTTGATGAGCTCGTAGAGGTTCATGCTGAGCAGCTCGAAGGTCATGCAGATGTGGTTGCGGAAGGTGAAGTGCTCCATCATGTGGATGACGTTCATGCTCGAGTCCTTGTCCTGCTTCTTCAGGTGCTCCAGGATGCGGATCTCCTCCGCGGCCTGCCGGTGGAAGCGCTTCTCGTTGCGGACCATCTTCAGAGCCACGTGGGTCTGGGTTTTATGGTCGAAGGCCTTCACCACCTGCAGGACGGGAAACGCGACACGCTGATTAATGTTTAATCTGTCAGAGCAGGTGGCGTTCACATCATCTAAAGCTGACCAGAACAGAACAGAGACAAGCTTTAGGTGGAAACACAACAAACATTTAAAACCAGAATATTAAGATACAAAAGCTGCAAAAAGCACAAAAACCAAGATTGAGAAATTAAAAACAAAACACAATTTAAATTATAGCAAAAATAAAATGGGGTCGAAAAGATAAATCGGATTAATTGTGATTAATCACTTCTTGAATTAACTGTCTACTTGTTTAGTAATTGACGACCAACAAGCGTTTCAAGAGGAAACATGAGTGATTTAAATCCAAATCCAACCACAACAAACATTTAAAATACTAAATGTAACAGCCAGATTGAGAAATTAGAAACAAAATAAAAATGTAATTATATCAAAAATAAAGTAGGGTTGAACCAACTAATTGGATGAATTGTGATTAATTGATTGTTGAATTAATAGTCAGCTAATTTAGTAATGGATTAAACTGGAGTGGACAGACCCCAAAGTGATTAACATGTTCAGAGCAGTAATTAAGGTAAAACTGTACATTTTGCACACAAGATACAAATGTCTGTGTTTTTTTTAGCTGAAGATGCATAATTTGCTACAAATGATGTTTATTTGCATCCATTAATGCATTTCTACAATTGTATTTAAAAAGCTTATGTGGATAAGTAAAAAATCTCCAGGATGTTGCTTGTTTAAATCAGATTAATTAATTCCTTAGAATAATCAATAACTAGCACTTTTGTTACTTGCAGTCCTGAAATAAAGATGGACAAAAAATTGTTTAAAAAAATTAAATCAGCACAAGAAAGAGTGACTTAAAGCAACAAAAACAGTAAAACATGGAAAAAATAAACAAATTATTTCCAAACAACGAAGCCACGAGACAAAACTGAGCAAACAAAAAGACAAAACAATACAAACACTTTAAACTCCAGCAAAGACACTAAAAATCCAACACAGGAGCAAAAACTATGGAAACTAACAGCAACAAGTTGCCAAACCACAGGAGGGAGGTTCCAGATAATAACAGAAGCAGAAGAAACACGGGAACAGAAACCAGAACCGAGACCAAAACAGCTCAAACAGCCGCAGTGAAGTAAAACAGGGTAAAAACAGCAAATAACAGCAAGAGCAGCGAAAACAAAGTCTGAACAACAAACTGCTGGAAGATAAAACTCATTCAATACAAGCAAATAACACAAGATATCACAATATTGTGGTATTTATTAGGAATAGTGATTTATAATCCACTGCTGTCTTTATTTGCACAAATACTGCTCTGCTAATGGATTTAGCTTCATTATGGATTTTTGTTGCTGCTGTCATGGAGAAAACAGTTGAACAACATAATTAAAGTCATAATCCTAATGATACTTTTAGATTTGGGGGTTTTTAATGGTTCGATAATAAACCATCGCGGCGACAGGAAAGGAAGAGTCATAACCATCAATGATACATTAAACGATGCAACCACAGGAAGGCATAACATGAGCAAAAATAATCTTAACTAGGGTTGATACAATTAATGAGGTCAGTCATTTAAAAATAGTCAACTAATTTAATAATCAATTAATTGTTAACTGGAGCATACAGACAAAACAAAGGATCTTTTCTGAAAAACATGATATTCAAAGCAGTAATTAAGCTAAAATTGTATAAAAAATTTAGCATTTAAAATAAAAACACTTTTGTTTGCAAATATGTTTTAGCCAAATGTGGCAGTTAGCTTCAATTTTGCTAACTGAGTGTTTAAGTTATTGCAGCTTAAGCAGTGAAAAGTAAAAAATGAAAGGTACTGTTGGATTCGCTGCTTCAGGTTTCATTCATACCAGCCCTGTTGAGTCCAAAAGCAGGAAGTGGACTAGACAGCAGGGCATTCTGGGTAAACACAGCCAAAACAAAATCGTTAGCCCAGCGCTAATGAAAGAAATAGCTTGTAGGTTTTTACCAATATCAAAAAAATAAATCCTTTAACCACTAAAATCTGACACCACTGCATTTTTGTCTACATCTTGTGAAGAAGGAAGTTGCGCTGAGTGACTGTCAGTTTTCGTTTCCTTCAGTGGTTCTTGGTGCAGTGCCCCCACAGGCCAGGAGGGGAACTGGCTTTGCAAATTGTAAAATTTGACAGTGCATTGAGAAAGAACTGCAGCAGCTGAAAATGAAACAAATGTTGCAACTTTGGTCCCAATCAAACTAAATTTACCAGACAATCAGCTACACTAGCATGTAAATTAGCTTTGAGCTAACGCATGTTTTCTGTTGAATATTTTAGGTTTACTCCACAGAAAAATCTAAAATATCAGAGCGCCGGAGTGCTCAGATAACTGACCAATGAAACGTGAAGCCAGTGTGTTCGTACCTGTCCGAAGCTGCCCTTTCCGATCACCTTCAGAACCTCGTAGCGGTAAGCGATTTGGTCATGTGGCACCTGGATGTAGGACCCCTGTTCATCGTCATAGCCGCCATTGTTGGCTGCACCCAGAATGCCGTTGCGTTTCTTTGCGTTCTGGCCGATGAAATACACTGGAACAACAGAAACGAACCAAATCAGACGACGTTCCCACCACACAACCAACCCCGGTCGGCGCTCCCGGTCGAAACGGATCACCTTCAGGGTAGCTGAACACCTCGTGGTGTTCGAAGGACGACAGCTTGGACATGTACTGCTTCATGGCCAGGTCGGGCGACATGGGGCAGGGCTTTGGCTTGGCGTCTCCCTGCTTGTTGGTGATGGTGCTGCTGTGGCGGCCATGATGGATGGAGTCGGTGGCTGAACCCTGCCGGTCCGGGGGCACCACACTCGTCCGGCTGCAGCTGAGCGGGGTGAGGCCGTTGGGATGCGTGCTGAGGACCGAACGCCTGTTGGAGTTCTCCTCAAACAGCTGGGTGATGTGGACCTGCGACTGCTGCGACGAGACCTGGATGTTGTCTGACATGGTGGGCATAGAACCTCCCTGGAGAAGAAAACAGAAGAACGCCATCAGCATAAAGGAGAAGACACAAACATTTCACACTGAACATTACATAAAATAAATAGAAAACTTTTCTTCTCATAGTCCTTCTGTCTTTAGGATGTTGGGTTCTTTATTTTTCGTTACTTTCTTTGCTTTTTGAGTCCATTCCTCCCACTTTTCTGTGGACTTGATACTTGGTCTGGGCTCCTTTTGCATGAATTCCTGCATTAGTGCGGCGTGACACGGAGGTGATTAAGCACAGAAACAACATGATTATTGGACCAGATTTTGGTTCAATTGACAGTGTGGGTCGGTGTTTATTCCTGATGCTGGTTCACATTTTCCTTACCACACAAAATTGTACATTTTTAAAGAAGTGGTTGTATTTTTCTAATTTATTTTTATGATCCAATATTTTATTCTTTTATTTTCCAATATTTAAAACAAATGTTATTTCATCTCACTTTATTTAAAATCCCAAAGATGATGATTGTCATCTGAATATTTCATTTAAAAACAAAGAGATCATCCGATAATCCCAACTTTTTGCTGGTTTTCTGATCACAGTTGATGAAAACTGAAGGTTTCTTGTTCATCAACTCCATAAACGATGCATGACAACATCCTGTTGCTGCGTTTTAAAACGAAATATTTCTTTAGGAGAATAAAGAGAAACATTAACCTAGAAAAATAAACAAACACAAACATGATGAACACAGAATGAACGTGTGAATGCCGACAGCCTGATTACACTTGCACTTATTAATGGATTCCAGTTGCCCCCCGTCGCCCTGGCAACCAGCACACCTGGTTCCTTTCAGACGAATTCACACACACACACACACACACAGACACACACACACACACAGACACACACACACACAGACACACACACACACACAGACACACACACACACACACACACACACACAGACACACACACACACAGACACACACAGACACGGTGGGGCAGCTCGGTTCAAAGAGCTGTGTGTGTGTGTGTGTGTGTGTGTGTGTGTGTGTGTGTGTGTGTGTGTGTGTGTGTGTGAGAGAGAGAGAAACACGACATCAAACCGTCCCTCTGAAATCAGGTCGGTGTGTTTCTGCTGTCAGATGTGACAAACGGCCGACTGTGAAGTCGTGGCTCCGCCCACACCTGAAAACAATATGGCTGCTTCGCTGATGAATCATCATAGGAAGGGCCGACAGGTCAGGGGTCGTGAAGCGTCTGAGTCGAAACCAGTTCAGAATCGGCCAGTTGGAGCTGAAATCGTTACTTACAGATTCAACCAGAGGAAAGAGAAAAACGTGATCAAAAGATTTCAGGTCCAAATCAAAATGCATCTGTTCCAAGTTCTGCTGAGCGACAGACAAACATGGAGTCTTTCTCTGGACCCAGGATGAAAAGCAGAGAAAAAACAGATTCTGCAAGTTTTCACAGAAATCTCAGAGTTTTCACGACGAATTTAGAGTTTCAGATGGACGGATGAATGGACTGAGAAACATAAACAAGTGGAAATGAAATTTCTTCTCCAGGTCTTCGTTGCGTTCAGACCTCTAGTGGCGCCACCTGCAGGAGAATCTGAGCAGGGCAGGAACCCTGGTGATTGTTCCCAAACATTAAAGCTGGTTGAAGTCAGGAGGAACATCAGCGATGCTGCAGCTGTGAAAACACCCTGAAGAACAGGCCGCTGAGTGTGTGTGTGTGTGTGTGTGTGTGTGGGTGTGTGTGTGTGTGTGTGTGTGTGTACCGTCAGGGGGTTGTGGTTGTTGTTGCGCAGTGGCGGCAGGGTGACGGGCGATGTTGTCTGAGAGCCGCTGTGACCAGGAGAGCAGACCGGCTCGCCCGATTTGCCTGAAGGACGCAGAGAGAGAGAGAGAACGTGAGGAATTTCTGAAATATCTCCAGGTTTTTATTTCCCACTGCAGAATATTCATCCGCTTGCTTCTGCGCTTCGTTTCCACATTTAAATATTTTAGAACAAACTTTTATTTAACCAACAAAGGACAACCTGAAAAAAATACACATCATCATTTTATTCATTAAGGGAGAAATTTCCAAACTTGTAAAGTGGAGAGCACATGAAGCCACAAGAATATTTAAAAACAATTTAAAACAAAAATCTTTTGTTATGTTTCTGCTCAATCATAAACAGATAGAATATTCTGTAGAATATATCTGGTAAATGTGCTTCGGTCGTTCCTCCATTAAGGGAAATGAATGAAAAGGAAGTGATTACACTTCCTTTTGTGAAAGTCAGTTTCACAATCCTGACAGATTTGGAAAATCAAGGAATCACCTGAGAAGAGCCAGTCGGACTACAGGAAGTAGGCGTAAATTTCCCATAATGCAACATGTCACAATGTAGAGAAAAATAAATCACATGATTTCACTGAATCTGGCTGTTTATCAAATGCTTGTAAGATTTTTCAAAATGTTTTTAAAAAATTTTTCCAAAATGTTAATATTTTTATTATTTTATGTTTATAGGCATTTTTAATTTATCCTTTAGTAAAAAAAATTTAATTATTTTTATATGTTTATGCATTTTGTAAAGTTTGATTCTTAAGAAGTATTTATTTCCGGAGGTAAATCTGACCTTAAATCAGCCATTCAGAAAGTCTAAATAATTCTGGAATCAGTCGCTCCTCCTCAGCTCAGAGTTTCTATCTTATTGACTCCAGAGCCTTTAGAGGAGCAGGGAATGTGCGGATTGCCCCTTTAAATCCAGACGGGACTGAAATGTTTCCTCCTCTCCGTCTTGCTCAGGCCGTTTTGGAGCAGCTTTGCTCTGGACTCAATCGGTCAGCAGATTGACTCGGCCTAAAGACGGATGAAGGTTTTATTTTAGCGCGGTAATCCCTCAACTCTCCTGCAGCTTCACCTCCTTTAGTGGAGACGTGACGACAGCACGCAGAGGTCAGAGGTCACGCTGGATGAGCCACAGCAGAGGTTCTAGGAAAACTTTTCCTCCTTCAGTTTTATCTGCTTCACGTCTTCCTCGTCTCACAGATCCAGTCGGGTCAAAAACGCCTCGGATCGTCTCCGACCAGCAGGACGAAAAGATTTCGCTCCATCTGGTCGATTTTAGAGGAGACAAAATGTTTCTGCCACAATCAGGCAAAAATAAAAATTAAACCAAAAACAATCCAATAAACCAAAAGGTTCAATTTGCATTTTGTCCTTCCAATCAGCAAAAACAAAAACATAACCAGAGTGTCAGTTTTACTGTAATGATAATAAAAAATAGAAATTTTTACCAACTGAATTTACAATAAATTTAAAGTCTTTCTAATTTACACATCGGGAAAACAGAGATACCAATAATTCAGATCAATGCTGAAGAAGAAGAGAAGTGAGATGTGTTGCAGGTTATGTGATACAGTTTTATTTTCCAGATGTTTTTATAATTACTTGTATTTATATTTTGTAATTACATTTCTACTTTTTAAGAGTTATTTATATTTTTCATGTAATTTTAATTTATTTTTTAGAGATTTTTTTGTAACTTTTTTAAAGAGTTAATCATTTTGATTAAAATAAAAGATCACCTCCACCTGCACCTGTTCATGCAGTCATGTGACCGTCCGATAGCCAATCAGAGTGAATCCAGGGGAAACTGGTGGATTCTGATTGGATCTGCTTTAACCCTGGAATATTTTCCACATAAACCTGATTTCTTTTTAAAATATTAGTTTTAATAATATTAAAATGTTTTTGCAGTTTAATTTCAACATATTAAAACTTAAAATCAGATCAAGGAATAGTTGTGTATTTTTACTGAATATTTTTCTGATCAGAGACACAGCGGGGTTTAATCTATATTTCCAAAACCGTCTGAGGCTTCCGGTCGGAGCATGCAGATTGTTTCTGCTCTGTAATCTGGACGCTCGCTGTAATCCTGCTAATGAGGAATGATGGGTGGCCATGACGGGTCCTAGATAAAGTCTGTTTGCTCAACCTGAACCCAGCCAGAGAGGATTTCCCCATCGGACTCGTTTCAGTCCGGTTCCTGCTGCTGGCCGGTCAACTCCATGACCTCCTGCCTGTAATGGCTGCATCATCGTTAAATATTAAACTTTTGTTACTTTCACTTCCACCAGCGTCTCAGATGTGAGACGGTTTGTTCTGAAGAGGAGAACTACAATCGGACATGTTCAAAGAAGAACTTAATGTTGAAATTATCCTGGAAAAGAATAGTTTTAATAAAAAGCGGAATTAAAAAAGAAAATTCCAAATTCAAATATTTCAGGTTAAAACTTACGGAGGCCCTGAGGTGCAAAACACTTCAGCAAATTCAAAAACACAACATTAACAAAACGGGAAGGGAACGTCCCAGGGGGACGTTGCCTCTTGTCCAATCAGATCGCTGATTGGACAAGAGGCATTCATCCGTATCTGGCGTGGAGACCTGCTGCCTTCACCTCCCACTGTAAGAATTAAACCTGATGACGGAAATTTACAAGCAGAATTTCTTGACTTTGTGGCTTTTAGTGGTGAAACAAACTTTAAACAACCGAGAAATATTTCCTTTCTAACTAAATTGGCCCAGTTAACTACTCTGATTATTTCTTAGCTTAGTTAACTTTATTTTATACTGTGTTGTTTTTCTAAAGAGGGAGAAACAACGAGAAACGGCGCTTTGCCGTTTGTTTACTGCTGCCCTGTACACCCAGAGCTGACCAGTCGCTGTTTGTGGTCAGACATGGAGACTTTAAGGTACGTCTGTGAGATGTTCCTTATAATTTATGTAGATGAAAAATAATTAGTTTGATATACCAGAGAACCTGAAGTATATTAATGTGCAATATTTATATTAATATGTGATATGTAATATTACATATTAATATAAATATTAATATGTAATATTACACTGTAATTACACAAATATTACATAGTATGTAATACTACACTGTAATTACACTGATATTACAGTGTAATACGTAATACTACACTTTGTGTCGCTGCCCACGGTGGGACGTCGCTTCTTGACACGACATTGTGGGCAGCGACGCTAAAGTTTGACAACTATAATCAAAGTTTGTCATTACAATAAAATGCCTAAAAATTTTTATGAAGCTATGATTTTTTATTCACATCTTGAAATAGCAAATGCACATTCAATTATGGAATTGTGTTAATATGCTCATGAATTCACCACTGTAAAGGTGTATGTTTAAACGTTTATCAGAATCAGCTGTATCAAATGTAATTGTTCCCCAAAAACAATTAAATAATCACATCAAAAAGTTTGATGTGATTATATATTATTTTGTGTATATATATATATTATTATATATAATTATAATAATTAATAATATTTTTATTGTTATTCCTATATATAATAGTGAGCGAGCGATTGTGTCAATAACATTCATTAACTTTAAATACTTTGCAGAACGCCAGTCTGCCGACAGCATCCCCACCCCAAGGCTCCTGGACCCCAAAATGTCTCCCTCAAAGATCATTCAGAAGTTAACATATCCACGATGGCACCCAGTATCTTAATGTTGCGGGATTGTACATATTAACAAAAGTTTTCCCAATTCTCCGGAGGATTGTTGGTTCTTCTTCTTCTTTGTCTCTTCCTTGGTCTGCTGTCTCCTCTCTTGGCGGGACAGCCTCTGATTTTGCCCTCGCATTAATCATTTGAAGTTTATCCTTCAAAGTAAAAATGTTTTATTTTAAACTTCATTCGCAGATGCACTGTAAAACGACTGAGTTTCAAGAAACAGCAAAAGCCAAGGAACTTCAGTTCCCAACATTCAAAGCCGTACAGCTTTTAATTTTTTTAATAGCTGTTTTTTGTCAGTCTTTGATAGTCTGAATATAAAATTTAACTTCACTGTAAAATGCAGGAAGGCATGGCTTTCCCGACCTGGAACAATGAATATAATATTTAGCTACTAACAATAAAGGATTTATGAGAAACTCAGAATTGTTCAGCCTGCTTTTAATTTATTTTTCTAAATCCCATTTCCATAATTTTACGGTCAAAGGAAACGCAGCTAGTTTAACCTTTCTGTGGATTCAGTAAGTAAGTGTCTTTTGGTTTTTGTGGTGAAAACTGCTGCAGTTTGAGGAGTTATCCTTGTTTTGGGAAATTTTCACACTAGTAAACAAATGTTCTGGAAAAATGAGTTCTTATGGAAAGATGTGCTGAATCTCATAATTGGAAAAAGTCGTTGCAAAAGTAATTTCTCACAATTTGTAGCATTTCTAGCAGAAAGTCTGAGAACAATTTCCAAACTCTTACAAACTTAAATGAAGAAAATTAAAAAATATTTTTTTTGTCTTCAGACAGAAGCAAGATGCAGGAAACCATCAGAATCTGATTTGCTTCCAAGAGAGCCAATCAGGAGCCTTTAGGGTACTTCAAAGAGACTGCCTTGACCAATCAGGTGATAGAGTTTTCTTCCAAAACATTTCTGTCTGCTCAGGTCCAAAACAGAATATCAACTGTTCAAAGTTTCTTCTGAAAAAATAAAACATTAAAAGCAGTTTCAGGTGTGGTTCTGCTGGGATCAATTGATCAATTCTAATAATATCAATAATAATTGATCCATTATCTCAGGCGTTATGGGTTAGGTTTACTCTCTGCGTCACCAGAGAGTAGAGCGGCTCTGGTTCTAGATTCAGGTTCTGATGGAGTTTGGATCGATGACGGAGAGGATTTGATTTCATCTGCAGGATCTCGTCTGACTTTCATCAGAACTGACCCACGAATCTCCGACTGGGTCCTCTACTGGGAAGCACATTCTGTTTCCTCTGCCCAACACCTGACAGATGCACGCCACCAGAGCGGAGAGGCGGTTCTGAACGCGAACCCGACACCGGGCTGGAAATGCCGGAGC